TAAATAATTGGAAATGTGAAACACTTTAAAATCCATATTCTTCGATCTAAAATTGATCAAAAAATATGTAATAAATTTTAGCCTATCAATTCATTAATATTTTTTACTTTTGCTATAACTCTTGTAAATTACGTTAAAATAATTTTGCCAATTTTTTCTTTTCTTTCTTCTTTTACAATATACTATACTTTTCTTTTTAGTATCTTCAAGTATGTACTTCCATTATACAGGGGTATATAGTTTTATTTTCCATATTTTTGCTTTATGAATTGAGCTTCCGTTTTACTTTATCGTCAACTGAACATGAATAAATGCACATGCCATTTTCCCTCTCGTATTTCTGCCTCCATCAATTTTCACCCTCCTATGGTTATCCTTTGACGATTTGGAAATTTATGTCGTCCCCTTCCTTTTGCGTTATTTACAAGTCGTCTCTCAGTTTTCCGCAAGAAAATGCTTGAAGAGCTATTTCCTTGGGAAGAGGAATGACTTGTCCCAAAACGACTTGTCGGAATGCAATAAGATGCTGAAGGAACTAAAGAGTCGTCTCTCAAGAATGACAATTTTTCTCGTGTTTCCTTGAAAAATTGTATCTTATTTTTTGTTTGTCCAAATATATTTTTTCGCGTCGGAAATCTTATGCGACTTTATAACGGATGCGATTAATATGAAATAAAGATTTTCTACAAAAAGCTGCGGCAAATATTTACTTCACACGATTATTCATACGAAAGATGGAAAGTACGTTCTTTTGCTCTTATTACTTCCAATCAAATGTTCTCGTCTCTATTTTCCGCTATGGTTTTTTGTCTCATTCTCATTTATGTAATTTCCATTCAAATACAACCTTTAGTGTTTGTAATATGCCTGTAATTAATTCTCGCTATGCGTTCCAACTGTAACGAGATTTACAGACGTCAAAGAGAAAATTCGTTATGTAATTAATACGATATCGTATAAGCGCACTTTTAACGTCGCGAAACGAGCTGGTTAGAGCAAATCGACATTCGAGTTATATAGCGTTCAAAATTTTCGCGTTGGCGTTGATGAATCATTTGGATCAAAAGAAACTGAAATAAAATAAAAATTAATATTTAAACAATAATATGTAAATTAAATTATAATAAAGCAAACTAAAAAAGTGCACCTACCTGCTTGAAGGAAGCAAC